GGACTTCACAAGAGTTGTAAGGGGAGAAAGACAGCAGAGTGTTTTACAGAATATCAAACCTGATGTTGATCCTGACAGTGTAGGCTCAAGTTTTTCAAGGCGAAAAGAACCGCCAGACTCCAGGAACAGAAGGCAGAGAAAGACAGGCAAAATGCTGAGGTTTAATGGTTAATGGACATGAGCATGATGTAGATGCCTGGCCTGAGAAATGCCCACTACCTGATATGAAGACATTTCTTGCAGGACTTTTACTTATTGGAGAAAGTCAGTATGCAGACAAAATTAGAGATTAACTGACGGTTCTTACAAACCGCTCTCTTTTTCATTGCTCTCAGATTTTGATGCACCCATAACCTTGATTTTTTTTCTGATTTAAAGAAATATATAAATCTGTATTATCCTAGTAATGAAAGAATATGTCATTCAGCTGTATTTTATGTTATTGGAATGGCAAACTTGAACTTAAACCTCACGACTGAAGGACTCGAGAAGTTTTCATGATGAAACTTTCTGCACTAAACAGAGCTGATTGAGATTCATCTGAGCAGAAAACTGTGGTTCATTCGGACATTAAACCCCAAAATGAATATTTGTGCATTAAGTCGCTCACCTTGTCACCTTCAGTTCTTTAAATAATACTTTGGATCACGCAACTCGTGCTGTATAATCCGAGTCTCATTTATCCAGTAGTATTCTCAGTCCTTCCTAAACACATGCATTTGCGCTAAAACCTTCCTATTTAAAACACTTGCGTATTAAAAGACTTGCGCTTGGGCAGGCATCCTGCGGCATTTCTTCAACAATCACAGCGTTCATCTGATCTACATCACGCTTGGCGGGTGTATTGCTGGGGATTGCCAAGGACGTGCAGAGTCAAATATGGTGCAATTTGGACACGTCAACATCAATAAACTTTGAATAAACAAGCGATGGCGCTCTGTGTGGGGGGGGTGGGGCTTAGGGGCTCTGCGGACTGAGTCGTGCATGTCATCCTCAGTGGGGCTTTACAGGTCTGGATATGCTCTCGTTACAACCAAACTCCACTTCCCCCTGGAGACAACGAGCAATGAGCGGTTTCTCGACAGAGCCGCTAGCAGCAATAACGAGAGCCAAGGAATCGGCACATGCTCCAAACAGCCACGCCAAAAACAGGCACTGCACCAGTGTTGATAAATGTTCTAAATTTGCCATGATGCAGAAATATTGTTACCTGAACATTTGGAGATTAAAGATGTGAAAGCGCATAGCGCACTGGTCAGGATTGGTTGATGAAACTAGGGTTTTAATTCAATTGGATTGCAGTTCATCATCAGATTTCCGTCATAAGACGAAGCAAACCATGAGAGTTAAAGGTTGTGTTAATAACCATAATTGACTTTTGCACTACACAGAAAAGTAGCTGCCAGATTGAGACAGGTAGTCGGCTATTTGAGATCCAGTGCCTGTAGTGCGATTAGGGAGTTTTGTGCAACAACATTTTTTTTGTTCCACCTCTAATGTTTAAACACACAATGAAAGACGCAGTTGTTGTCATTGGAATGCACAGCCAGGCACGTTAAAAAAAGAAAAAGTCGAGGAGACACTATATTCATACCGTGTCAAAACAAATACAACATATGCACAATGTGTCGACACACAAACACAATGTGCAGACTTTCACAGAAGTTGTTTTGTAGCCTTCAAGTCAGTCACAATATTGGATTCTCTTTATTTTTCCTCCTCGGGCGCTGCTTCCCGTGAGATGTGAACACGATTTACTAATTGGTTGCCTGAAAGTCAGCACAGATACCAATACTTTGTAGTTGACAGGACAGAAGTAAAATGGCATGTAGGACAAACAATGCCTCATATGTATAGCCAAAGCCATTAAGGAGAGCACAAAAAGAAGCATCAGTCTAACTCTGAGAGATGCATGGTTTAGAGGTGATAAAGGCATCTTCCTTATCAGACTCCAAGCTTTTGCCAGAGGCTTTTGTAGTTGGTGTTGTTTTTTTGTGTCTTTCCCATTTTCCAATTCCTCCCCTTTCATGTCGCTCCCTCTCTTTTGTCTTGGTAAGCTGGTCGGCGTGGTCCAGAAGTCTGAGGCCTCTGTGTTCCGTACGCCTCCGCCCGCCGGAGATTAAAAATAATGGGCAGCACCATTAATTAAGCAACTAATCTTACTGTTTATGTTTTGTCATTTTTACCGCTCACAGATGCGTGGAGAACTGTCCCCAAAAAATGTTTGCTCCCACACACCCATTAAAATGCTTTCGCAGCACGGACGCACATTAAAAACAACCCCATACGTGGCTGGACGGGCTGTCAGGGACGCTGCTTTGCTGCCCGTTCCAGCTAAAAAAACCAACACCCCCCCCCCCTCCCCCCTACCTTTCTTTCTCTATATTTATTTTTGTAAGCGGCTCAGTTAATATTGTTGATTTAAGACCTCACCTTCAATTTGGTGTAGCATGTGGACAGAGCTTTAGCGTTTGCCGCGGCTGAGCCAATTTTCTGCTTCAAGCGCCTTTAATAAAGCACGCAGCGCTATCAGGAGGCTTTGGCTCTCCTGATGAAGGCCATTTATTTCAAATTAAAGGAGAGTTCCTTATCTTCGGCATCCTCAAACGGTGAGAGAGATAAAGATGGCGAGCTTTGTGGTCGTCCTCACTGTGTTGTTAATGCGATGAGAGAGAGAGAGAGAGAAAAGGAAGGGGGCTGGGCGAGTGGGAGGCGTAAGAAAGGAGACTTGAGTTGGAGAGAAGAAAGAGAATAAAAGTGGGAAAAGGCAGATTAAACAGGCAAGATACACCATTGGAGGTGGGGGGGGGGAGTAATCTGATAGGTTGTCATCTTTTTAAAATGGGTCTTGTGAGAGAGCCCCCAAAAAACTGCTTCATTCCTTCCCTTTCACCGTTTTATCTCCCTTCCTTCCTTTATATGTTTTTCTATCCATCTCTGTTCATTTTCCTCTTTAACCTCCATCACCCATGCCCAGAGAAACTCAGTCTCTGCATCCATGATACCGATGATAGTGTGTGTGAGCGCCCGTGTGGGTACGGATACGCTGTAATTGAAATGTGGGGGTCAGCTCTCCTTCATGAATCAAAGCCAAAAAACCCTTTAATATGGCTTTCAATTAAAACTGGTGTTAAATGCTCCTCACAGAGAGGGTGCGTACGCACAGCGCAGAGGGGATCAACGTGTCGGCGTGTAGGGAGGTGTGTGTGCCCGCAAGTTTGTGGCTCTTTCATGTTTACGATGTACTACAAGTGTGTGTGTGTGTGTGTGTGTGTGTGTGTGTGTGTGTGTGTGTGTG